CCAGATCTACATAAATTTTAAGCAGTAAGTTTTCTACATCAAACCTTCAGATCCGCTGCGCATAGGTTTATGTTGAATGTTTGTCCGTGATTTGTGCATATCGAGATCCTCATGGGTTTCAACATCAAGTTCAAGCATTTCCACCATCATCAATCAAATCCAACTTTACTCTAATGAACATTATAAGTAAAGCCAGAGCAAAAACCGAAGTAAAGAGCTTTAAAACTAAATACTCATTCTCCCATTGCGTAGACGATGAAAAATGGAGTCAAAAGCTCGAAACTTGAACAAAATCGAAATCGCCGGAAAATCTCCCGGAAAATAGCATAAGCTCCTAATCTAGAGAGCAAAAATAAAACATAAACTAATTTCCCAAAGAGGAAAAATGAAAAATGAGAGAATGATGTCCAAAATACAAAGGAAAAAACATATATATAGTGGTCTCCAAAAGGCACACACTAAGTGCACACACATTTAATGAATCTACAGCTCGCAGGTCTCGAAATATTGTTCGCAGCGAGTTGGGAAGAAAATAACACACAAAAATGCACTTCGCAGCTCGCCAAATGAAGTCCGCGTGCGAGTACTAGGCTAAGGGGGCACAAGTTGCTGTTTCGTTGGGCGCCAAATGTGGTTCGCGGAGAGTGCATGGATGGTGAGGTGCAGGCCAGTCGTTTCGCAGGGCGCCAAGTGCGGTTCACGGCGAGTGCCATCCTTCTCTTGCGCATAGAAGGTTGCTTCGCGGGTCTCGAAAATGAACTCGCAGGCGAGTGTCTAGGATTGGCCACCAAGTACCCTCTTGTGGTCCGCGAATTAGATTTTGCGGCGAATGTGACCTTCAACTTGATTCCTTCACTTGGGTGACTCAAAGGGTGATCTCTATCAAGGAAACTCATATAGCTCGATCAAATGGCTCGACTTTCTCATCTCGGAATGGCTCGGCATCAAGAACATGGACTCGTCTTCTCCCAATCATGCACAATGTGGACCTACATACACCAAAAGAGACAAGGAAATACGCCAAAAAATACAAAAACAAAAGAGAAAATAAAATCACACGGAAACAACTAAAATGGACCGATTAGACAAGAAAACAAACCTAAGATCGACTCAACTACGCACATAAACACATAAAATAAGCACAAAAACACAATAAACAGTCTCGCGGCAAATTTATATTTATAAAATTTCCTCGACTTACCCCTACTAACTAGTAGTAGTGGCGAGCAAGGGTCGATCCTACAGGGAGTGTGGTATAAACCTTGATTTTACTATATTAATTAGATTAATGTAAAGATGGGGGATTTTGATTGAAAACGAAATAACTAACGAAACAAGAAATTAAACTAAAACAAGCAATGGATGATTTGAATGCAAAAGATGATGAAATCGAAAATAAATAATTAATCTAGCAAATAAGAGAATGGAATCGGTTCCAGGTCGGTCTACACCCTCGAATAACTAGCCCAATTAATGCATTTATCAAGTCTTACTCGTCTTCTAAAACTACCGGTCCTAGATAGCAATAAGCTCTGCTACCCGAATTCTCCCTTAATTATACTTAATCGAAATAGGCTCTTCAATTAATTCTAACTAGCGAATAACTCGGAATGAGCTCTCCTAATTTAATCCACTAGTTGCATTAGAATCTAAGAAAATAGACCGATCTAAGCCACAAACACACAAGCTCGGTTCATGTAACTTATGTTGTGTTATCCCTAACAATGCACGACTGTTAGTTGCTACAAGCAAAATAAGAACTACGACAATTACACGGATCGAAGTCTTAAACCTAGCAATTAACATGCAATCCTCAACATAGGTGATCAATCTTAATTGAAGAACACATATTATGACATGAAACTAGACTAACACAATCAATTTTATACGACGAGTAAAGCAAATAAAATTGCATTAATCAAACATAGTCACCAAGGGGTCAATGTCCCTAAAACCGAAATAGTGTTTAGCTACTCATAGCTAAATGATAAAAACAAATATAAACATTCATAGTCTTCATAGTCTTTAGGCGGGCTTCGTCCTGTCCTCTCAGTTTTATTCGGCTGGTGGCTGTGTGCTGTCAGTTGATGTTTGTATTTGCATATTTGTGCCTTTTATAAAATTTCTATCGTTCAGGAAGAAAAAAAAAAAAAGAAAAAAAAAAGAAAAAAAACAACTCCCTTAAGAACACAATAATCCATGGCCTAATTAAAGCTTAGCAGCAAATAATTCTTGATCTCCTGGTGAGCATTCTCCCTCCGTCTAAGTCCCAGCATCCGTGAATTATATCCTCAGCTAATCAATGAATGAGAGTCCCACTCCAATTGAAACTCTCTATATTAATTAATTCCGTCACCCAAAAGAGAATTAAGAGTTCCACAAAATTCAATTTCTCCTTCCATATCTTGCAATTGCATTTGCCAGGGAAATAATTCCCTTCAACACTCGCATAAGTCCACATAAGCTGCCACTTCATTAATAGCCATCAAAACTGTATAATAAACACAAAATCAAATATTGGTGTATGTCTGTTCACAAAATAAATTACGTGAGAAAACTTGATTAATACACTAAAATCAAATACTCAAATATATAAATTAAACCACAAAACAGTACAAGGTTTCTCACGTATCACTACGCGTCGATGTAAAGTTTTTAATAATCGAAACAAGTTTAAAGTGGCGGCAGGTGGCGACGCACGGTGGCGCACGGGCACTCATGAGCTCCATACCTCATTTCTCCACAACTTTCACATACCACTGTCATCGCTACTTGAGTCGACTTTGGATCCCGTAGGCGAAGGTATTTGAGTTCTATCTCTATTGAGACCAACTTGGTAAAAATCGCATCATTTGTTGAAGAGCCGGATGTAGGAACAGTTTCATTCACGGGAACTCAATCCGAACACTCTTTCTTTGGGAATTTTCGCTTAACATCTCATATAACTCGTAAATCTTCTCCTCCATATAGCTCCCAATGTCTCCTCCGTCCACGTGGCCCACCATGTATTGAAGCGTTTGATGAAGGTCGTCATATAAGAAATGGTTTAAGACTCCGAGGCAAAAGTGATGATGTGGGCATTGGAGTTGATAGCCCTTGAAATGCTCCCATGCCTCATGGAAAGTCTTTCCCGGATTTTGACTAAAACTCACCATTTGAGCTCGAAGATCCATCGTCTTTTGGCGGGGCTAGTACTTCCTCATGAACTTCTCGTATACTATTTCCCAATTGGTAAGTGAGTTCGGGACTAGTGTCATGAACCATGTCTTAGCTCGATCCTTCAAAGCGTATGGCAAACAATGCATTCGGAGTTGGTTCTCGGTAAAGCATTGTAGATGAAAGGTAATGACCATCGAATAAAAATTTCGGATAATATTTAAAACAACCTCTTGCAGAAGACTATAGAAAGAGAGTAATTGATTGAGATGGATGGTCTTTAGGTCGTAATTTCGGGCCGCCTCTCTGAGCACGAGACAAGATGTGTTATCTCCAATAATGGGTCGCTCGAAATATCTCATCTTCAGAGGTGGTGGTGGAAAGTGTTCTCCTTTGTCTTCCATTGTTTCTGGATCGAGTTGCGCCTCATTTATGTTGAGTTCAACGTAGAGATCAATCAGTGGTGTTTCCTCTCGAGTAGCACGCCTTCGTCTGTTGTGTACAAATTATTCTTTTTGCCGAGTACCGAATCAAAGGATTCGTTTCCCGGGTTGATCTCACGAGGAAGGCGGTTTGGAATTCAGCTTTGGTATCGATTACACATAAAAGAAAATAAAATCCTAAACATTCTAATCAGATAGCGGGTTTGATAAATTATTAGCTAAGAAATAATAAAAAGCATAATCTACCTAAAATGTGAATAAAACAAGGATGGAGAAGCTAGAGAATCGGGGATAATTAATTCAAGTTCTAGCAAAGTCGGGCTATCAATTGTTCTGTTCGAGATTGACACTCTCGCTTATACATCTAGCGGTTCGCTCCCAATAACTCTTCGTAACAAGGGATTGAACATAGACGAACAAGTTCGAGTATACAATACAGGCCAATTATCCCAATCCCAATAACTTTTCGTAACAAGGGACGGGTCATCGACAAGAACGTATTTCAATCTAAAACACATAGACTATTCAATTACGAAATCATCTACCTCATGTGAGCCTATTTCTACGACTTCTCCCCTTTCGGTTCTGAAAGCCGCTAAGTCAATTAGAAGGTGTTCAATCAACTAATCATATAAAATTGATAAACCCTAACTCGACACATTAACATCCAACTGTCACCAATAGCAAGATCGAAATGTCACTTTTCGATTATATCAATCTATCGAATGCAAATTCATCAATTCCTTATCCAAACAACACATATAAGTATGAATGAATCGAAGCCCGACAAGATATAATTCAAACAAGAAAAATCATTCCCCTATCCCTAGCAACAGAAATTAGCTACGTAAATCAAATTCAACAATCATAATCAATTTCTCCAAATTCAACCATTATTCATGAGATAAACAGAAGAGAAAAGAAAATTACCAATAATCTGAAATCCACGGGTAGAACATGAATTACAAGCATAATCCCAAAAGCAAGAATAAATTTTAGATAAAAAAAATAGAAAATAAAGATTAAGAGAAAAAAAAAAAGATCGAAGAAGAAGAAGAAAGAAGGGAAGAGGAGGAGATTGGGTGTTTTCTCGGGACCTAGGGCTTCCACCCAGTCGAGAGATCCTCTTTTTCGAGTGTAGAACGCGTTATTTATATTAATAGGAGGGCCCGGTGTAGAAAAGAACATGTGCCGCGGAGCGGCTTCGCCGCGGCGTGACGCAAGAAAATATGGCCTCTGTCGACCTCGTGCTAGTGGTGCGGCGTGGGAGAAGGGGCGCATCGCGGCGCGAGGCTATGGCACGGCGTGGGAGAAGGGCGCATCGCGGCGCGAGGAACTCATCTGCCGCAGCATGGAGTCTGACGCGGCGTGGCGCTGAAAGATTTGGGCTCTGACAGGGTCGTGCGCGGCGCGATGGGCGCTCTTGCCGCGGCGTGGGAGTGCTTCACGGCGTGGAGGGAGCTTGTGTCGCGCCGCGGCGCGCGGGACTGCTGGCACACTTCGCTTCTCAAGCTCGTTTGGACTCGTCCAAACTCGGAATTCGATTCTGTTTTTTCCTACGCGTCGCTAACGAGCTCCTCTTTCTAATGGTGTCAGCTTTCCCAAAAGATTCTCGAAAACCTGTTCTCCCGAGATCTCCAAACTACACACCAAAAACGAAAAGAGGACAGAAAAAAAAACTGGAAAACAAACGAAAAACTCCGTAACACTCAAATGAACACAAAACACATAATAAGTGACAAAAAGATCCTACAACCACCTAAACGACTCGATACAGAGGATAAACAACGGTAAAATAATGACTAAAAACGACACAAAAATGGGACAAACAACTCCTCCACACTAAAACCTTTGTTCGTCCCGAACAAAAACAAAAGAAAACAAGACACGAACATGATATGGTTTCAAATAAGAAGAGTCTCAAAATGCCCAATTCAATTGAGTCGAATTCCAACGACCGCACGACCATATGCCTCAAATATCAACTTGACCCCGAAATGACAAACTCTCAAAACATAGATCATCATATATACCTCACTCATTTTCTTACATGAATATATGATAGGTACGCTCAAAAATTGGTCAATATTCAAGTTTCAACATATGCTTGCCAATCGTTTAAATTACTCGAAGACAATCAAAGCTCAAAATATGCGAATCAAGAGGACTTCACGGGTTGTAATGCGGGTTTAAGGAAGGATATATATGCCAGAAAAGAAGCTCAAATAAACAACAAAATTCTCGAGCAAATTAATTACTCGAGTTCTCTGCTACCAAACTGGAATGAACAATATAGCACATCACCATCCACCAAACAACTCCACAAACAACACCTCACTGCTCTAATTGAATTGCAACATCACTTGACCCAATTTTTCTTCTTTTTTTTAATATATATATATATATATCTTTCTTATTCGGAGAGTAACTTTTTCCGAACAAGATCGAATCAAAAGGACAACATTCTGTAGGTGTGAACATTGGAGGTCATCCAAGTGTCCTACAGTAGTTTCCAAATGCTCATTACCCGTCAACACGATCGACTAGTAAGAGGAGCAGAATCCAATCGATTCGTCCTGCGAACTCTCATGATTTTTTTTTTTTAATAGGTCAAGCAATAGAAATCCAACTTCAGTTCACCTCATTCAACATCAACACCATTTTTACCAATCATCACTAATTCAGTCAACAAAGTACATCACATATACGGCTGACAAGAAAAGGGCTCAAAGCTCAAACGGGCTACTAAAGAAATTAACGCTTAGGATCAAAGAGCAAGGCTAAAGAGAGCTAACCAAACAAAACTCCTCAATCATGTTCACAATTTCAAACTCTAATCGATTCCTTTCAAACAAACTCAAGGCAAGTTCTAATCATTCAAGAACATGACCAATATCTCACAAGAAAGAAGAGTAAGGATCAAAACCTCACAAGGCAGATAAATGTCACTCAAAGCAATCAAGCAAATATCGAGGCAATGACCACACGTCCATCATCACAACTTCCCAATTTCATCAAACATTCATCAACAATTCATATAATTCACCAATACCATGCTTGACAAAACAAAAACCTAAAGCTAGACCGGACCACCTTCTAAGCATGCAAAATCTAACTAGACTCCCCCACACTTAAAATGAGGAAATGACCTCATTGCTTCAACATAAAATCAGGAAGTCGAATAAAAGGACCTAGCAATCTCATAAAATGAACCAATACTAGCAAACACCACAAGAACACAAGACACAAACTAAGAAAAAGAAAACAAACTCAGAAAAAAATAAAAAGGGAATTGGTGTGCAAACCAAAGATGCATCGAGGAGAATAACAACACGTGCAAGTCGCTCCTCTATGCGCAGCCCAGAATCTCGATAGTCCTCATTCAACACAATCCTCAGGCTCGAGCTCGTAATCTCGTACCTGCCAAGAAAAGCACAAAACTCCAAAACTCCCATTATTCAAAAATAAAACTAAAAAGCATAAATAAAAAAATCTAGAAAAGCAGTAACTCACTTGGGTTGCCTCCTAAGAAGCGCTTGTTTAACGTCATTAGCTTGACGAAACCTGCGGGGAACTCAGCTGGGGTTTATAAAGAAGTGACGGTCGTGCCATGCCTTCGTATTTTCCAGAAGTGGTAGCATGGGAAGTTTGGCGAGAAGGCTGGCACAGTGGATCCGAATGGCAATGTTCTGGGCGAAGCGGGTTCGGGCACGAGCAATACCCAACTCTAAACGTAGAGCTTTTCCCACTCGAGCTCTATCGTCTACCTCCGAAAATATAAGCACATCAGTGGAGCAAACCGAACTGAATCCACCCCACTTTGTAACGCAGTGTAAGGGCCTCGAAGATGGATGCTCCAACTCGGAGGTGGAAGGAGAGACATGAGAATCAAGCCCGTGGATCATCTCCTCTGAAATAAAATCAATGTCTCGTTCGAGCTCGTCATCTTCTTCTTCGGCCTCACACATTTGCTTCATCGTGCGGTCTTGAGTATCAAGCATCCAGTGGGGGTCGTCGGCTTATGCCTCGGTTGAGTCGATATGTGTTGTAAGGATCTCCATTTTCGTGCTCAGTCTAGCACATCCATCTCGGGTGGTCAGGGCAGATATGCGAGCAAGGATGAGGTCGAGCTTTTCATCGAATGACAAAGCACCCTCCCGAGGCCCATCCCTATGTGTCGATTCGCCTTTAACGGTGGGCTCGGGAGTGACATTGGTAACTCGATCCTCTAATGCTTGCACGCGCTTCACAAGTTCCTCGATTCTGGACTCAAGGTTGCTCTTACGGGCAGCCTGGGATGCCAAAAGAGCGAGGGCCTGATCGACCTTGGCATTGTACTCTAAGGAGTCCTCGAGGGACTCACATGGCTGTTCAACAGGCCCGAAATCCCACTGCTGCTCGAAGGGATATGATAATGTCTAGCCATAGTCCCAGAAATCGTAGAATGGAGGTGGCTGGTTCAATTGGATACACCGGGTTGTTGTCTCTTCTTCCTGAGCTAACCGGGATATTGCGAAATCATAGATACGGTCGAGCTTCTCGTTGAACGCAT